AGATTTATAGTCGCTCGGGATACACTCACTCAAGCTCTCCAAGAAGGTCATTTCAGATATGTGCTAGAGTTACAACAATGAAAGACTTTGATAGTGTTATTTGAATTTTGAACTTATTAATAGACAAATTAATGCAAAAAAGTACAATAATTTGAAGATTTTAACTTCAAGCATTTGATATCTTGAAGTCACATGAAATTTATGACAACGCAACCATTTTAACTAAATAGATTTTATGAAGCATTCAATTTGATAGATACAATAACTCACATGAATAATCAACAATGACATCAACATAATCAATGTAGAAATGAACAAAGAAGCCCTCCAAATTATTGACCTCCATTTAAGGAAAAGTTGATAATCTTAAATAAGTATCATATTTACACTATTTTTTTAGTATCAAATGCATAGTTGGTCAATGACATTAAAAGGTCTAGTTTTGATGGCCTCCTCCAATGTCTACATAACCTCATACTTGGGACCCTTCAAAATATCATTTTTTTTCAAAATGAGTGCAACTATGATACCTAGGATTTAGAAATCTCTAAAACCTTATCAAAGAACTCATCAAAGTTGGAAACTTTAAAGAATCTGTTCTTGCAAAACATGGATGCCGTTATGGAGATGCAACTATTAAAGAAATAATAAATGAAACAACTACATCATAAGTCCTTTCCCGCAAAGACATTGAAGATGGATGCACCCACAAAATTGTAGCATAAGGAGAGACTTACCTAAGATGTAAACTAATCTAAAAAATAAACATAATAGAAAAAAGTCATATAAAACTTGGTTGTAATATTTTGAAACAAAAGCTTAAATATACTCCCACATCTCTAATAGTTGACTTATAATAAAACCTTACATATACTTATAATATTCAAATATATTTTATGTAATATATATTTGGTAAATTCTTAATTAAGTGTTTTAGCAAGTTTCTATTCAGAATTCGGCTCAAACTTGCTTAGTATAAACCTCAAAAATTTACTTATCATTAATTAAAACTCAATTAATTTCTACTCTACCAAGACCAACTACTGATCAATTCATTGAGGTTCATTGTTATTCAGACCATCTAAGATTTTTTCATAAAAGAAAGAGAAAATAAGGTAAACAAACTATAAAAAAACAAGTTCATGTCATTGATTTAATTAGTAAAGCGTCAAAAGCCGTCCAAAATGACCTGAACCAAAAAGACAAAATGCATCCTTCTATAATTAGTCTCAGAAGAACCCTAACCTCTCTCTCAAGAAACTCAGAGCTAAAATCTTTAGCGCATTGAAGTATAATAAACTATATCATGTCATACATAATTGGTCCCACCATGCTTCCTCACACCATCGAAGTAAAATGGTATGCCTTGTTGGTATTTGTCCATGATCTTAACTATGTACTCTTTGAATTCAATGAACTCTTTAATGATAGCATCTTTGGAGGGTTTAAAAGTCAATTTAACCAAGATAAAATTTAATTTCTTCAAAGCTTTCTGCAATTTGATAATTTTTGCTTATGAAAGAAGCATGCAAGCTAATGCTTTAAATCTCCCACTCGGTCAAAGATAACTCCAAGCGTTAATTATGCTCCTAAACATAACATCCTTTTGCATATGTTAATTAGCTCTCAAAGGCATTGAAGCTTCCTACTTATACCCTTCCAAGTTGACATTTACCTTCTTAGTGAATTTCAAAACAAACTTCCAACCACCATCTTCGATTGAAATAATTAAAGAGGAGCGAGTGAGTGAGCAAGAGAAAGAAGCAAATGCTAAAAGAGGAAGATAGACAACAAATCTAAAAAAAGAAATGTTAACTTTATCCCCCCCCCCCCCAAAAAAAAAAAAAAAAAAAGGCAAGGAAAGGGCTGTTTGGATGCATGATATGAACAAGATTTCTGTTGTCAAATGAAATTTGAGATTATTTTAAATTTCACAGCAAAATAAATCCTTATTTTTCCTCTTTTTTTCAAATATCCTGGATTTACTAAATACGGGAGTATAGAAGATTTATAGGATTTGGGCGAAGAAACACACTAATGATGAGAACCTTAATTGCGAGTGAGCTCCATCGTTACTCCCGTCTTTACTTCCGATTAATATCGTCGAACTGTCGTGATATCTGTTTCGATAAGAATGGAACTTCGTCTAATGAGGCTAAGAAGCTAGCGACTCATTTAAAACTCTACCTCACGTGAAGGAGGCGACGTCGAACAACAATGAAGAAATGGAGAAGATGAAAATCAATCTCGTTTACCTTCACAGCAAGCAAAGTAGGTGAAGTTGAACAACAACCAAGAAATGGAGATTTAATTTTACAATTCATACGGAATACGAAGACTAAGATGAGTAATTGTAATAACTCCAGGAATAGGAGGTTGAATCAAATTAGAAATAGAAGAAGAGAGTCAACAAGGTCAGGATAATACGTACTTGGGAAATAAAATGAAAGATCATGATTTGTTATTGGTGGAAACTTAAGCCTCTTTTATAATAGTAGTATAGATATATATTTATATATATTACAAATAATATGATGTACTGGTCCCACTATCACTTTAGCATTATATTCTTCTTTGTATCACATTAGATATATAATGATAATTTTTCGAAATTGTTAATAGTGGTTATCCATTGCAACTTGATATTAATTGTCTCACAGACACACCCAAATAAATCAATAAATATACATATAAACTTCTATTTTTCGGACTTATACGTACTAACAAGAGCTTCATACACTAAGTAAAAGCATCTCCTTCAGTATGCATGTCGTTTTTCGTGTCAAGGCTATACTGTTTTGAGCTAGATCTCTCATTCCATTGCATTAATCAACTAGCTTGCCACATACAATGAACTTGGCCAGCATTTTTCCCTTCTCTTTTGAAGGGCATGGAATAACCCCGTTAGTGGTCATGACAGCCATCTTTTTGGCATCTTTTCTCCTCTCTGCACACTTTATCTCCTTTCTTGGCCACAAACTAGCCAGAGAGAATCTCTCTAAACACTCCATCAAAGCTTAAGAGAGCTAATAAAAGTCTAACGTTATGATCAATATTAATCTTACAGTCACTTCATCATGATATTGAGAGAGAGAAAAAAAAAAAAATATGAGGATGAGAAAATAATGGTATAGCTTATAACAAAATAGTGGTATATATTAATTACTCTTCCTTCACCTGACCTAGAAACATGACCAAGTTCATTGCATGGAATCAGAAAACCAATTATACCATATATATTCATATATGCATGGTTGGTTCTCTATAAATAGGGGGAATGAAGCAAGGGGTTCAAAGCGAAACATGCAGCAGTAAGAATGAAGGTCATTACTGTATATAAGGTGGTGGTTGAGTGGTCTCAGGAGTTCCCTTAAGCACTTCACTGGGAGAAGGGGCTAAATTGCATGACACCCAATGAAGTGTTTGGGGGAACTCTAGGTGCCACCCAACATATAATAGTGTGTACATACTTGTCAGAGAAGGTGATTATGAATTTATAGTTAAGCTTCATCGGTCGTTAAGAATGAGGCTTTGTTCGAGTTATTTTTTTTCTTGCTTTTTAAAGCGGCTTTTTAGTATCAATTTAAAATTTATGTACTAAAAAATTGCTTTAAGAAGCAATAATAAAGTCGTCCCAAATAAAATTTGAGTTGCCAGTAATAAAGTTGGTAGCCTAGTTGAGTACTTCATGTACTTATTCCTGCATTAGATTAATATAGTTTGCTTTCTATTTAGGAGCTGATTTTTAGTATTTGGAGATAAGTTTTGGCTGCACGCATTACATGAATTATTATATATGAGCTTATATAGTTCAATGCCTTTTTTATATACATTTAAGTATTTCGGTCTCGACAGTGATTTTTTCGTAGGAAAAGATAATAAAAACTTATTTTAAAAATAAATGAAGAGAACCGTTTATTTAAATTATGAGGCAATTAAAGTTAGAAGTACAATCTATAGTAAAAAAAATTTATTCCTATAATCAATTATAATATATTATGATATTCTATACATCTAAATTATGGTTTTCCATGTTTGCATGCTTTTAAGCTATTTGAACAATTAAAACACTTTCAATAAAATGCATGTCTATAAGATAATTTTCCTCTTGATCTTTAGCGTTCTTCAAATTGAATCGTTATAATAAATCATGTGAGAAATTTCTTGTAGAATTTTTATCATGTAATGAATTCTTTCATTTAGATGATGCCAAACTATAATAAGTTGAATATATTTTTATATTTAGAAATAAAATTATACATACTATCAATGGAAGAAATTACAAAATCTTGAAACATAAATATAATTTTATTCCATTTAATAATTTCTTTTAGCAAACAAAACTATGTTGCATGATGATTATTTATTGATGAAACTATTCTTCACAGGGTCCAGGCTGAAAGAAATGTCAATGGTGGTGTGGAATCAAATTAAGAATGTCAAAATCATTTTATGTCCTAATGTGTCCTCATGTTTTTTGGTGGGATAGAATCTCATTAGGAGTGCCAAAATCATTGGTTTAATTGGGAAATTATTTGGTGCCGAGATTTAATTATATTTCATTTTTTTAGGTCTTGTTTTTTTCATCGCGATATTTCAGTGCTCACAAAGTAAAAGCACAACAAAAGAACAACAAAAATAAAACACATCAAAAGAACAGTAAAACATAGTGAAAGCAAAACAAAAAGACATCAAAAGTGTAAGCATAGCAAAAACGTAATACAAGCGTAACAAAAGTGCAGTGAATTACACTATAAATTTATAGAAATTTTTCCTTACAAAAGAGTTTAGTGAATATCCACGTGTCCAAATTTAAATCGAGTCCGGATGTAAAACTATGCCAGACATCACCAAATAATTTCTCGATTACATGACCCTCTCTTTCAGATAAAATTGAGAGAATCAAATCAATCAGGAATCTGTCTCAAATATATTTGAGAGAGACGACCTGATTAAAGGATTTTTTTTTTTTCAGTTATCAAACTTGAAACTTCTTACTCTGTATTTATGAATTTAATTTTTTATAATTACTTTATATTCATAGGAAATAATTTGATAAGAAATATTCCCATCTCAAACTGTTTTAAGCTCTGACGGATTAAATATCATGTAAAAGCTGAACAGGTCCAAAGAAACCCAATTAGCTCAAAAATCCATTTTTGGGCCTGGTTGTCGTCTCGTCTGCTCGCCGTCCTCGTAACTAACCTTCCGTCACGCTACAAATCCACAAGCGACGGGGCTCGCCGGACTTCATCGAGTCTGTTCCCTCAAAAGCAGTTTGGTTGCCCATCTTTTCTCCCGCTTACGATTCTATATGGCAATGCCTTCGTTGGCCAGTGGCCGCCGCCAAGTAGATGTGGTTCACAAGAAGAACTTGTTTCACGATTGTTTTCTTTCATCCATCCATGTTTTTCTGAACGATAGGTAAATTCATTCTACTCCTTTTTATGTGCTCCTATCTGCCTCTGCCTAAAAAAGTGCACTCATGGTGTTTGATGATTTGCTTCACTATCTCTAGTTACAATTTCTTAGAGATCTTCTACTAACCATGCCATTTCAAGTATTTTTATTTATTTCTTTGCAGCGAATGCAAATGATCATTAATGTTGGGCGATTGAACTTATTTCTAACTATCCATAATCTCAAGTATTTCATACAGTTTGCAGCATTGGATAACTAAATTGGGTTTACGTGTGGTCTCCTTCGACTCTATTTCTCTGTAATTTATAACAGTTAGATAGCGCCTTTAGAAGAACGTTTTTCCCATGCTTTGTGGTGACCACTCTGGCTTTAATTTGTTTTATTCACGCTGATTACATAATGCATACTAAGCTCTGAGTTATTTTGAACAAGTTCAACAATAGGAAAGTAAGGATTTAGGCTTTGTTTGGGACAGCTTTTGGCCACAGCTTTTTCGTTGCTTCCAAAAAGTTTTTGTTATAGAAAGATGCTGTTGAAAGCGGTAAGAAAACTATCCTAAATAAAGCCTTAAAATTTAAGCTTTGTTATCAGTCAAAGGAAGTTTGCATGCAGATCTTACATGAACAATGGTCACACTAATCGGTTGCTACTACTTCCTGTTATTTGTCATCATATGGTGGCCATGCCGAGCATGAAAGAGATGGAATGTAAGGGTGGAGTCTTTGAGAACAAAAAGTAATACTACTTCTCTACTTACTGTGAGGTGTGATAAAAAGCTTAATGACTTAGATGTCCAGTTCAAATTGAAAGAACTGAACTTATTTACCTCTGGTCATTTGTTGGAGATACATGAAAGGGGATTAGCAGACTTTCAAAAGTTCAAACTATCATAAATAACCATGGAAGATGCAACACCATCTAATTTCAGAAATCTAGGTCCTTGTGTTGAATCACGAAGAGCATAGAGAATGGTATGATTTTTTTTTTTTCAGTAGTAACTGTTTAATTATCAATTATTTGTAGAATATTTAATTTTAACTTTCTGGTTATTATACGTTTTTTTTCTAGTAATTGACTACAGGTCTTAATTTGTATGGCCCTACATAAACCTTGGTTTGTTGCTTGGGCTATGCAAATTTTCTCTTTCAATCCTTTATACATAATTATCCTAACCCCATTTCTATTATTATCTTTTCCATCATATAATAACTTATAACCTTCCCAAATTCCCGTAAGACTTCCCTCCTTTACATTTATTTTCTTGTGAATAAGCAATACAACAACATCAAGTCTTTATCCCACTACATGGGTCAGCCGTGAATAAGCAATATTTATTATTATTCTAATCATTATATCTACTAATTCTCTTAATTTTTCATTCAAAGTTACTCAAAATTCACTTATCAAATATAATCATAGATTTAAACCTAGTCAACCATTGCTTGTTTTTCACCATAATCAGTGTAATTTGTGACACTCCACTAGTCATCCAGGTGGTTACAGGTTACTGTTACATGGCCATTATAAGAATTAATTTTTTCTTATACCATCTTATTATCAAAATTTTAAAGGAAAAATCTGAAAGAGAGGACAACCAAATCCAAGTCCTTGATACAGCTTATTGAAGTTTGATTTTATTTTCATATACACTTGTTGAACTAAATTAAGAGGATCAGAGTTGACACGACTTGAATCAACGAATAAATACACGATCATAGCGTCGATCAGAGTATTTGATTTTATATGTTCACATTAGGCCTCCAAGGCCTCTTATAAGAAAGATTCACTCATTAAAACACAAATTATCCAGACTGAAGCTCGTTGATTTACTGGAGTATTTAGTTTTATACATTAACATTAGACCTTAAGGTCTCTTATAAGAAATATTCACTCATTAAAAATATAAATTCTCAAATTGTCACTCATTAAATCGATCGGAATATTCTATTTCATATTTTCACATTAGGTTTTCAAGGTCTTTTATAGAGAAAATTCACATATTGAAATACATACTCTCGATTCCGACGTCTATAAGAAACTGAACTCAATTCTCTGTTGACAAATAAGCAGAGTCGACAAGGTTCAAATAATGAAGTGAAATCACCCATAAATTTTGATGCTGACCGTGTTGAAAGCTAATCTCAACCAAAGGAGTTTCTATTTTTCAAATGCCCCCAAATCTCAAAATTAATCCCGAAGAGGTTCAAATTTTAGTAAAATTCTAAGTATGATATTCATTCAATTTTAAATACATAAAATGAAATTAAATTACCTAATAACTTGAAACGAAAATCCATCCACCATTTGTAATAGTCTATCGAGGTGGATAGATTTAGAAATCAATTCATCTCACAAAGAGCGAATGTTCAGTTGAGATTATCATCAGGATTCATTCTTAGACCATCTCTTGCGAGTAAGGACATGATATGTGTTCTCTATTCGGTGGTTTCACTATAAAATGATACCACAGGTAAACAATTATGATCGTGACCCTCTAATTGAGTGTTTTAACGCTAAATGATACTACTAAATTACGATCACGGTCAGAGCTCGTATGTTCCCCAATGACTCTAAATCCTTGAATAATGAATCAATAGGATATAGTTGATAGGGTATAAATGCCTTTTATTAGCTAAGGTGGACTCAAATCTTCCTCCTTAGGCAAATATTTACTCTAAGTCTATAAAGTACTCTTGGATTACACAACCCATAGCTACCTACAAAGATTCTTCGATCAGGTTGGGTCGACTACCTCCTTTGACTAAATAGGCTAGGGACCATGACAGCCCGTGATGACATAATCATTGGATCTTGATTGGGTCTATCATCATCCCTTCATCACCCGCTTCAAGTGGACATTGAAAATTTTTAAATCTTAAAAATCCCCAAATTCAAAATCCAAACCCCAAAGCTGCTGCTACTATGTCTTTTCTAACGACGAGTCTTAATTGAAAGTGCTCTCTTGTTATTGGGAATGATAGTCAACTATAGGGACTTGCACCTATAGAAAACCAGATCTCAGATCATAAACTCCTTGAGAAATGAGACGAAATCTCTAGACAGTGTGTTATCTAAAATTTAATCCGCCTTATGAAAACTTACTGCGGAATCTAAACTCATTCCAACTCTCCCGTCTATAAAAAAGGGTGCGGAGAGGCTGGGGTTGGAGCCCACGATTCTCTTTTGTCGTCAAAATTCATAGCCAAAGTATGCCAATGTTTCTGTACATATAAATACTGTTAGTTTGGTTTACTATTGCAAAAATTTGCAATATCATCAGCATACCATTAAGATTAGGAAAAAAAAACTAACTAAACTTCGTTTTTTTTTGCTGATTTTAGTCTTCCAGTGAAAGATCAGTATACCATTAATATTAGGAAAAAAAAAACTAACTAAACTTCGTTTTTTTTGCTGATTTTATAGAGTCTTCCAGTGAAAGCTTTTACAATTATGAGTTGACACATTAGTTTAAATAAGAGATGCTTTTGGGAAGAATCACACAGCGGCTGCAGTTATCTCACATAATGATGACGGTATTGCAATTTCAAATCAACTCGGCTCCATTCTGCTGCCAAAAGAGAATATTCCTTAGTAAAGTTATAAGCGGGTACATGGAAAACGAGGAAGGTGAGGAAGAGGGAGAGAAACCTTACAAGGATGTTCCAAGGCCTGGGAAGAAAGGGGAGAGAAAGCCATATGCAACCCCCATGAAAGAGCTTATCCGCAGGGCAAAGGAAAAGAAGAAAGCAAGACAAGAAAACCCTTGTCAGATCCTTGAACATGCTCCAGAGAATGGCCTCCTTGTTCCCGAACTCATTGAAGTGGCCCATCAAGTCCATCTTGACAGGAGTTCACTGCTACATGGCCTTTCCAAGCTCGTTGAAGGTGATCCAGCAATCCCAATCCATAGATGCAGGTGATTTGATTTTCTTAAATCCATCATGTAATTTCAACACATTAGTTTATGGCCATGTTAATTACTTGGATTTGTCAGGTTTTGTCCCGAATTGCATGTTGGCTGGCATGGTCATGAAATAAGGTCTTGTGAAGGCCCTGGCAGTGGTTCTAGGAACTCTTACCATGTATGGAGAAGAGGAGGGGTTAAAGATATTGTTGGATTTGCGTATTGTTACCACCTTTTTGATAGAGTGGGAAAGCCAAGAGTAGGGCACAAGGAGAGGCTCGATGTTCCAAAGCTTCCAGCCATATTGGAACTGTGTATCCAAGCAGGTCTTAACCTTGATGATTACCCAACCAAAAGAAGAATCGCACCTGTGTACTCAATTGACGGAAGGATTGTTGACTTTGAGACGCATAAAGAGGACGATTCCATTACAGATCATCTACTTGTCCCAGTAAGTTTTATAGACTCTATTTCCGAAGAGGAAGAGAATATGAATTTAAATGAATTGGCTATGAAAACATTAAGATCTTGGTTTGATTTGAGAATAGGGGCAAGTAAGCTAATGAAGAAGTACAATGTTGTAACATGTGGATACTGCCCTGAAGTTCAGGTTGGACCAAAGGGACACAAGGTGAGGATGTGCAAAGCTGCAAAGCATCAGTTTCGAGATGGACAACATGCATGGCAGGAAGCCACTATTGATGATTTGATCAAGCCAAACTTTGTGTGGCATGTAAAAAACCCAAAAGGTCCCCCATTGGCCAATGTGCTCAAGAGGTACTATGGGAAGGCACCTGCTGTGGTGGAGCTCTGTGTGCAAGCCGGTGCACCTATCCCCAAAGAGTGTAGTAGTATGATGAGATTGGATGTTGTTCTCCCTGATCTTGATGAGTATGATCTTGTTTCCTGATAGAATGCATTGTTTCCCCTATCCGAAGGCAATGTGTATCCTACCCCAAATCATTTTGAACTGTGGACTTTTTATGAAGATAGAGCTCTCAGTGATCACAAATTGACCGTCCCTGTAACATCCTATAATCCTTTCAACTGATTGAAATAATTACTTTTATGGTTGGACGTGCGTTTTAAGCTATACAGGCAAGCAAACTATGAAAGAATCATGGCCTTCAGACGACTGCTAGTCTTGAAAACGGTAAGTGCCCACTGTATTGAAAAAAATTGAATACAAATATATACAAAATTGAACCTATGGTATTTAGAAAGTCGATTCTTTGAAAATTTTGACAGATGCAACCAAATTATTCTGATGCATGCATGGTGCCATATCCCATGTCTCAAGATAAGCTAGATGGAAACATCAAACATGTCATGTAACCAAGGTACCTGGGATATTCTTGGATGTATGAAGTGTCAAGCACCTTACATCAATGAAATAAAAAGTAACATTACGTTGATATCATTGTTTTTTCCTTTTCAATTTTGGTACTTGGTTGATGCTCATTTTAAGCACTAAATGATCGTGGAGATCAATTATCTCACATTTTATGATTTTTTTTTATCCTAGCTATTTGCCAATCAAAATTGATTTACTACTGGGATTCCATCTCTTTCTCAACTCCCCTGTCATTCCTTCCCCTTACATTTTGCGGGAGCAAACATCTCCAAAGTTTCAAACAGTTTATTTTGTTTTCACCGTGAGTGAGATTGGCGCTTTCTGCTTCCTTTAACGTCATTCTCAACTGTATTCTGCAGGAGTCTGTCAAAGGACGTAAGGTGATTACTGTGCTCCTCTTTCTATTTATGCATTCTTATTTTTACTGCTGCATTCAACGAATGAATGGCCCTAAAGCATCTTGCGTCATCAGCCATGGCAGGCCTGTGCCTACTGCACGCCTTCTTAGTCCCTTTTGTATTTTACCTCTTTGAGAAGGCTAGCATTCTTACAGCCACCAATTATCACATATTGGAATTGTTACAAGAACACCCGCAAAGTAATTTTGCATTTTTCCCTGAAATGACTGTTATATAAAATTGTGTTGATAGAGTGAAATTTTATCTGATTGTTCCATAAAGTTCTGCACACATAGATAAAAGAAGCATACAAGTGGTGCAAAACTTTTTACTATGATAATCCAAGAAGAAAAAAAAATCATGGGACCTAGCCTAACTAAAATAATCCACTATATAGATAAATATACAAAAGTTTGCCTTTCCCTTTAACTGGTGGAGAAGTGATTACAAAGTTGGGATTGTAGGCTTGGCCTCTAGTGGTGAGTGCAGTGAAAAAATATTGGAGAAACAAATAATGGTGAAGACTGTCAGTGTTGATCCATGTTTAGCAAAAGCTCTGAGGTGATAATGGTCATTAATTTTAGTTGACAACAAATAATGGTGGTTGGGCGACCATAGACGTCGGGGTCAGTTGATCAGTTGATGAAAGACAATGTTGGTTGAGTGAAGGTGTTTAGGTGATGATTGTAGGATGATGATGTATTATGATGGCGATTGGACAACCATGACGGTCAGATAAGGATGATTGGACAATAATGTTCAGATAATGCTGGCCGGGAGATGTTGGTTGTTGGTGTCGATCTACAAGAAAAGCTCTATGATTATTCAAATTTATGAGCGCTCTACAACTCCAAGCCCTCTTCATGTGTGGAATGTAGTTCTATTTATTGATTTTTATGGTGGCATTTTGATTATTTTTTTAAATCCCGAAACTCTGTATTAAATGATTTATAATGATCCCTTTGATCATTTGATATTTTTTTAGCATTTGAGTGCCTTAATGCATTTGAATTTGGTGGTCCTAGGCTCATTGGATTTCTTATGTCTCGATGGACATTTTAACTATAAATTTATTGATAATAAATGTTAGTTGATTATAAAATTTTAATTAAAATTCTTTCATCAAGACTAGTATTTTATTAAGATGAATATTTTGGAGTTGTATTAAGAATGAGCTTGTGATATGCCAGGGGGGTTCCACCTTGTGGAGCCCAGGGGAGTTAATATTCGAATTTAGAAATAATTATGAAAGTTTATTTAGGGAAAGAGGACTGATTTGAATTTAGATTGGGGAGGAACTTAAGAAAGATTTATTTTAGGAAAGAAGGATGATTTAAATTCAGATTTGGGAGGGAATTAGGAAAGTTTTATTTAGGGAAAGAGGACTGATTTGAATTCAGATTTGGATGAGAATTAGAAAAGTTTTATTAATGAAAAGATGACTGATTTGAATTCATATTTGGGAGGGAAATATGATAGTTTATTTAAGGGTAATTAGGTAGTTTTATTTTTATTATGTTATTTATGTTTGCTATAGTTTTATTAGGAATTGTTCCTAGCGGCATTTAGGATTTGTGGAAGAGCTGATATACCTCTCAATAGTAGATCACTTGTATCTTTCTTTCTTATTGAAGAGATAATAAAAAATCAGCCCCTATCATTATATTCCTGTTGTTTCTATTTGTTTCTTCTAGTTTTAATTCCAAGACATATCAAATTGGTATCAGGGCATTTTTTTGTGACCTATGATAACAAAAAAGGTGAAAGCGTTGGAAAGTGAGATGGAGCAAATTAAATCTGGCATGAAGAAGTTCTCAACCATGGAAGGAAGGCTTTCATTTATGGAAAACCGATTAGGAAGGGTGGAGGAGATGAGGATGAAGCTTATAGAGATGTAATCCAAAACTCTATTGGCTGTTTCGAATGCTAATTGATAGGAAGTAGATGTAATTTCTACCAAATCAGCGTACCGCAAGAAGAATTTGGGAAGAACAGCACACCATAAAACTTTTTATTACAAGAAATACGAAAGAAAATAACAAGATATAGTTGGATCTTCAATTGGAGAGGAAAATCCAGCTCTCCTAAATATCTATCCACCGGCTAGAGCCCTCATAATTTAAGAAACCCTAATTTTAGAAAACACAAGCATAATATGAAATCACCCTATAGTTAGCCTTAAATAGGTAATTCCCTCCCAAATAAGCCCCCTTTCCCTAATTAATTCCCTCTCAGATTTGAATTCAAATTAGATCTCTTTCCCTATTCAATTCTCACCCAATTATATATAAAACTTTCCTAAATAATTTCCCATTGATTTCTCCTTACATAATGAATATTAACTCTCTTGAGCTTTTCCTAAATAATTTACTCTCATATTTGAATTCAAATTAGATTTCTTTCCCTAATTAATTTTCTCCCAAAGTTAATTAAAAGTTTCATAAATAATTCCCCCTCTCTCTTCTTGCCCGCTGCCCACCCTAGTGGGGCTCACTGACTCAGCCACCGGTTCATCACTGACCCTAACCAAGATTTGATTGGGATTCCCTTGATCGAATCTAAGGGAAAAGAGATTGAACATGAAGAGTTTAACGAGAAGAATTTCTTTCATCAAGAGTCACCTCTTAAGGCTACGATAAGGGGTGTAATAAGGTTTGCAGATTGGGGGACAACAGGAAGAGGGTTTTGTGGTGGAGGTGGTCGATCACTGTGGGAGGCCTTTCGGGCATGGGGAATAGACGACCGGAGGAGGGTAACGAGCCGAGCCATGAGGATTGGGTTATGCAAGGAGGGTGGAAGAAAGATGGGATTCCTACCCTTGATACGCGAGAGAAACATAAAGGAATCATGACAACCACTACACTGGAGGAGGAAGAAGTTATTGGGGCAGTGACGATTCTAGGGTGAGAAAGATGAAGATGCAAATAATTGAGGACAAGGAAGATGAGCAACTCAGAACTTTCAACAAACTAATTGAAGATGATAAAAAAATAATCATCTAAATGAATAATCTTATTGAGTCGCATAAGGTTCTTGAAGAGCACGGTCTTTCATGTTTGGAGCTTTTACATTTGAAGACAAATTGCATTTTTTTGATAAAGCAAAAAGCATACAAAGTTGTAAGATGGGCTAGAAATCACTACTTGTCCTCCATTAGTGTTGCTTCTATTAGTAATGGTAGATTTTTGATACCCGTGAAAGCTTGAAGATTGCTATTGCAATGTTACGGGAGCAGGAATCAATTTCAACGAAGGCCTTAGAGAGCATAAAGAATCTTGTAAAAGATGAGTATGAAAGCAATTTTGTTTCAGTAGTTGTACCCTCAGATGAAATAAGGGTTAATTTTGATGATATTGGGCTCTAAAAGATGTGAAGAGAACTTTAAATGAACTAGTCACGCTTCTTATGAGAAGGCCAGAGCTTTTTTCACAAGGAATTTTGCTCTTTGGCTCACCGGGAACAAGTAAAACTCTTCATGCAAAAGTCCTTGCAACTGAAGCTGGAGCAAATTTTATCAATATAACCGGATATGCTCTTACATCAAAGTGGTTTGGTGAGGCTGAGAAGCTCACCACGACGCTCTTTTCTTTTGCATCTCGACTAGCACCTGTCATTATTTTCGTAAATGAGGTTGTCAGCTTACTTGGTGCACATGGTGGTGCCTTTGAACACGAAGCAACAAGAAGAATGCAAAATGAATTTATGGCAGCTTGGGATGGTTTAAGGACCAAGGACAGTCAAAGGATTCTTATTATATGTGCAACAAATAGATCATTTGATTTGAATGATGTTGTGACATGTCTTCTTTCAAGAAGGATATATGTAGACTTTTCAGATGCTGAAAATTGCATGAAAATCTTAAAGATATTTCTGTCCCAAGAAAGCCTTACCCTAACTTTATATTTGACAAGTTAACTAATGCAATAGAAGGTTATTCTAGAAGTGATTTGAAGAATCTTTCCATTGCTGCAACATACAGAACGAACCAGGAATTTCTTAACAAAAAGAGGCCAGGTGAATTTACTAAGCAGAAATCTACATTAGCTGACATTTTTCATATTAGAAGACTAGCTTCCAGTGTGGAAGTCGATATTGTGGGAGCATCTATTTAAATTGCCATTCCTTGCCAAAGCAGGAGTCCTCAATAGCTTCTTCAAAGAATTGCACATTCAAAGAAGGCGATAGAGTAAAATATGTAGGTACAATGCATTCTTCTGGGCTATCTTTTCCAGCTCAGAGAGGTCCACATTATAGATTTTGTGGTAAAGTAATTCTGACATTTGAAGAAAGATAATCCAAAATTGGTGTAAGATTTGACAAACAAATAGTTGAAGGTAATGATTTTGGATGTCTATGTGGATCAGGCCATCAGGGGTTCTCCTGTACAGCTGACTTGCTTCGTCTAGATTGTTCTGGCCCAAATGATTACTGAAGGATTGCTATCACTAAGTTAATAGAGGTTGTGATTGAAGGAGCTGAGGAAAAGAAAAAGCAGGAGAAACTGGCAGGCATAGATACTAGAGAGCTCTTTTACAGCTTCCATTAAGATGATGTCCAGCCGAGTTTGTTATGCATAAGTGCATGGTATATGTTGTTCCCTTTAACAAAAAGCTTCCAATTCATTCTCAGCATCTTAGGTTTATTGTTTAGATGATACTTATCACGTGGACGGATTTGTCGGGGTACAAAGCTACATGGGAGCTATATAAGATGATTAGGAGACTGTTTTTGTCCTTCCACCTTGAGGACGATGTACTTTTTTGGGCGGGAAGTATTAATAAAATAGGGAGGTTCACCTTGTGGGGCCCAATAGAGTTAGTATTCACCATATAAGGAGGAGAGATCAGGGGAGAGATAATTAGAAAAGTTTGTTTACGGAAAGATGGCTGATTTATATGCACTTGCAATTGGGAAACACCAAGACGACATTACCTGCGCAGGTCATTAGACATCCTATGCTTATTCAATGCTTGTGTTGAATTTACAAGTTTGGATGCCCGCTATTATTCTATTTATATGCCTGGAAGTGGGCAAGACGTTATGGTTACGGTTTATCTTCTGTAGTTTATGCCTTTTAGAACATTTATACACAAGCGATATCAGTCATTCTTGTCATGTTAATATTAACAAGATAATGCTTTAGGGTTCGAATTCAAGCTGCCAAATCCCATATAATGACATGAATGTAATTCCAAACAATTATGAGAAAATTTTTCCCTCAAACGTGTTATTTGGACAATTGGACGTGACTTTCATTCCCATTTCTTGTTTCTTGTGCTCATTGGCTCAAGTGGACCAACCAAAATGAACTGCAGGTAATTCTTTAATGGTTAAGAGTTTGGAAAAACTGTTGTCAAAGTTTTCTAGTCTAATCTGTCATATATTGAATTTATGTTTTGACGCTATATATTTCATTAAAAAGAAAAAAAAAAAATCTTCTAATGTTCTGACTTCTGTATGCTTATTTTCATTTTCCATGTTATGCTATGTTATTTTCTGTTTTTTTTTTTTTATTTGGCCAAACAACTGTAACTACTAATTATTATCTTGTTACTGTAAAATAAAATATATTTATTAATTTTACCTACTAGAATATTGCTTAGATCTTCCAAACTGAACAGTGACAGTAACTCCTGTCTGTAAAGCAGATTTTCATATTCTTGAAAAGCCGAGTATACTAGATAAAGTCCTGGTAAAAGTGTAAAACAACTCATCTGCTAGGTGCTGAATTTCGTTACAATTCTAGTCAAGGTTGCTGATGGTTCATCTGAGCTGTGTCCATCGTTCATTGAGAATCCATATATTTACTTGTTCCATTATTTGTGAAGGTGTGTAGTATCCTGCGTCTGTGCATTATATGTGTAGAAAAGAAACTAAATATCAAAACTCTACGAATTCAACTCTTGTCATTCTAGGTATCTAGCGCTAGACTTGGTGAACCAAAAAAAAAAAAAAAAAAAACTTGGTTGATATTATATATGAACCCAAAACCTTTATCGAATAGTATCATTCCTCTATATTAGTAGCTGTTTCCGCTAAACTAGGAACCATTGAACTATTGTAATGTTAGAGGTGTCTTTACTTACTACTACAGCGAAAATGATCTTGGCTGTTCTGGCTTGTGGCCTCGCATTTCAAGTTGCTTGTCACAGGGTAGGGGTCAGGTAGTGATATTAATTTAACTAATGTTGCATTTGAATGAGCATTTGATAGGAAACACTTGTAGATATCAAGTATTTCCTATCAATCTTCAGAAAACAACGAGAATTCTTTACAAAAATCCGCACAAATTCACAAAAATAGTAGATAATTTATATTATTTGATGAAAGGGAAACGGAAAATAACAAGATTAAGTTGATCCTCTATTCGAGAGGAGGATCAATCTCTCTCAAATTTCTAGACGCCGCTATAGCCCAAAAAAAAACCTTAATCTAAGATATCTCATATTTCAGCCAAATTCAAAATGCCCTAACCCTAGAAAAACAAAGTATTTAATGCATACAAATCAAAAGAAAATCCCTAAACAATCCATACATTCAATTTTCCCTCGTAACTCTCAAAAAAATTCTTCCCAAAACGGTCCTTTAGCTTTAGCGGCTTCGTTGGCGTGCAGAAAGGCGGAGCTTTTCCCCTGTTTTGCCTATAAGCTGGTCCCGCCTGGACCGGTCGGACACAATTTTATGAAACCATTATTGATAAATGAGTATTTTATCCAGCTTTTAACACTTACAATGTTTCAAATCTTTCACGCTTTAAGACAATATTCGAAAATAATCATTTATCTCGGGTTCTACAAAATTTTGTTAAAAATTTTCAACTATCTAATAAATGACAATCAACTAAAAACTGCAAATCATTGATACTCTCTTGTATATTCCATAACAGATTAGTGCTTTTGGCACTTAAGAGCTGAATCAGCCAACAGCAGTAAAGAATTCCTACGAATCACCACCACCAAAAAAAACTACAGAAAATCAACTGAAAGGAAATAAGCACAAACTGCTTCCTATTGTCATCTAACAAGAGTGATAATTTACAAAGTGGAGATTTCAGCGCACTGGGGTTGTAGGCTTTGGGAATGGTAAGGGTAAAGCATCATCATTAGCTGTTGCTGGCATCTGAATAGAAGGCTTATATATTGCTGGTAATTTCATGGGGATGTCTCTGGGTTCTACTTGCAGCAGTTTCGGTCCATCTTTCACATCTTGCAATGATTGTAATGAGGCAAGAACTTCCCGCATTCGCGGCCGCTGCTTGGCTTCATGACTGATGCACTGTAAAGCAAGATTAGCAATGGTGTAGGCACCTTTCTTCGGGTACTGACCCTCCAATTTTGTGTCCATGATTCGGAATAGTTTACGCTTGTCTCCAAGATAAGGTTTTGCCCAGTCCACGAGATTCTGCTCGATGCCGACCTTGTTCTTGTCAAAAGCCCGACGACCAGACAATAATTCTAGCAGAACAACACCGAAGCTATACACATCAGCCCTCGCTGTAAGTCTACCTGTTACAGAGTTAAACCTTTAAACTGTGAGGTCTTTTACAGAACATGTCTCTGTGTATAATGTATAGTAATACGGTGAACAGTTACACCTGGTGTTGCACCCATGTATTTAGAATTATATGAAACCTAATTCAATCATTGAAAGTAAATAAAATAGAAAAAAAAATCACCCAAGAAGGAAATTTAAGTACTTTGCCTATTAATTTGCAAAGAGGAGCTCCCATTTGAATTCTAGCTTTCATGAACAATAATGAATAATGTAAAGATGACTTGGTAAAAGAGTACAGAAATGAAAAATGGTCAAGGTTTCAATACAAGTCATTTAAACGTGCAAGGAAAAAAAAGTTTAATAAGTCATTAGAATTAAATGTTCAAAAGTTAATCTTAATAAGATAGCTAAAATATAGTTAAAGTCAAAGTTTAGGTTGGCAGCGCCTTCTCCACACCATCCCACAGATCCTAATGGCTCTATAACTAGTCAAGCACAGCCTCTGTAAATTACATGAATTATAAATTGTCAATAATACAATCATATAAAAACTTTCTACGTGTCACTGCCAAATTTCAAACCTACAATAGATTAAATTGTTTTGTTTTTCCTCTATAATTTAAATTTCCATGCAATTATGTATATATTATAAAAGTCCTTTTATTTCCACTTCTTTGAAATCCTAATTCCTCCCATAGGATACAATTTTATTCTAGGAACACCGAACACTAACCCATTGATTGCCTGCATGTTCATAGAAAGCTTTTTTTTTTATAAATGCATTACATAAATTCATACCATCATCTTCATTGTTTTTCTTTCTTTTGAGTTTGCGAGAGCCTATCAAGATAAAATTTACAGTATATGCTAACTTACTAACCTGTGGCAATATATTCAGGTGCAGCATATCCTTGAGTGCCCATCACTTGGGTAGTAACATGGGTTCTATCTCCAGTTGGGCCAGCTTTTGCAAGGCCAAAGTCTGAAAGCTTAGCATTGAATTCCTGCATTCAACATATCAACATCTAAATTAGTTAACAGTTTTTTCACTCCAATACAAGCATCTTTAGGTTTTATGTGTAAAACTTACCGAGTCAAGAAGAATGTTTGAAGCCTTGACATCCCTATATATGACTTGCGATTCAGAATCATGTAGAAAGGAGAGTCCTCTGGCAGCCCCCACTGCGACTTTAATCCTTATTGTCCATGAAAGTGGTTCAGCACTTCCTATAATTGAGGGATATAGAGCCCTAATTAGTTTTAGAATGTACAAAAAGCATGATAGATAAAGTCTTGGCTAAGTTTTCAAAACTTGTACTAAGTCACAAGATCCAGCCACATCTTTCACAAGGAGATGGTTTGCTCATTTAATGACAACCCCTTATTATAGTCTTTCAAGAGTTGCAAATTCATATAGGTGCTCATATGTCCATTCAAATTCATCATCAATGTCCCATCTGTAATTATTCTACTTAATAAGTTCTCAGAATATTAGTTACCACTTACTCCTAAATAGATGATTCTCAAGGCTTCCTCTCGGCATGAATTCATAAACCAGTAGCCTATCATCACCTTCTGAACAGTACCCAATGAGCTTAACCAGGTTAGGATGGCGAAGCCGTCCTAGATAATCAACCTCAGTCTGCATTAATTGCACATGTAAAATAACAATAAAAACTTAATGGTCAATTAAACAAGTGAAATCAATAAAATGAAAAAAAAAGCAGTTTTGAATCATACTAGCCATTCTTTGTGGCCTTGGAAGCCTTCAGGTTTCAGTTTCTTGACAGCAACAATCCTACCAACCCCAGGTTTGGATGCAGCCAAGGTTTGTTCATCAATCCAACCTTTGTAGACATAGCCAAATCCTCCTTCCCCAAGAAGACTATCAGGCCGGAAATTTCTAGTGGCATTTCTCAATTCAGTGAATGTGAAATCCTTCAAATTCGAAGATGCTAAGATCTCGCCTTCAGTTCGCGGTGTAATAAGAGCATCAGAAGCAGGTTTTTCACTATATGAGGATGCAGTGATGTTCGAAGCAGTTGAACAAGTTAGGGTGGAAGGGACTGTGCCTGAGCTTATCTTGGTGATGGTTTTTGTCTGGCCTGAATATTAATTACACTCAATTGAAAACTGGCAAAAACTAATGACAAAAGCTGAAAACAAGAATATTAACAATACCATGATGTATGTTTTAAAACCAGAACCAAATGACCACATCAAAAAATGTTGTAGATTTGCTAAAAATGTATATTTTGAGGATATCTACGCATGAATACTTTCTGCAGGAGTGTTTATGTACTCCATAGAACTTCCAGTTACTTTTGGATAGAGAATGAGCATCATTTAAAATGCAATTAACTGACCGGATATGCCATATGGAGAGGAATTTATAGTTTCAAACCAATCTGAAAAGGTAAATTTATGATTTCAAAATGAAATCGAATTAAAAGTTTGCAGAATATCACCTTATTAATCTCATATCCCTGACAGGGAAGGTTAGAAGAAAAGAAACTCATTTATTTTCTTAAACAAATAAGATTTTAGTGATGGAAGAAATTGCTTCCTTGGCGTTAAGTGGGATGTTCACTGTTCAAATAATAACAATAAACCAATAACGAAAGCGCCGAAGACAGAAATTTTTCCAGACCTTCTCACTAAACCCGAATCTAAAAAGGGAAACTTCCAATTTCAGGCAACAAATCGAGCGCTTTAACCAATAACGAATGATAACATCAATCAACACTCAATTAAAGCTAAATGGTCTAGAAATTGAAGCATCCAAACCAACTAAACCCCCAAAATCCTCTACTGATCTACTACCAAACGCCAAAAAAGGTAAAACTCTTAATACACAAAGAACCGATCAGCAAACGAGAAGAAAAAGATAGCAACTTTAAGCCAGAACGAGAGAGAGAGAGAAAGAGATAGGGCTGAACCTGAAGTATTCTGCGAGCTACGAGCGCTGTCGACCCTCGAAGCATGGTTGAGACAGTTACCCATAGCCTCCTCCTACTAAACCCTAAACTATAAGACCGCCTTCAAAGATGCTTCGAGCTCGGCATGGTAGACGAGGAGATGAGCAAACCAATTAAAAAAAAAAAAGATTTTTGATCCCGGATTTTCCCTCTTTCTGCTGTCTCTTTCTTTCCTCCTCACAGATTCAACACCGGTAGAAAGCTAGGGCGAGGAAGGCCAGGGTAAAGGCAGATAAGAGACAACAGCGAGACAGAGATAAATAGAAAAATGGAAGCTTAGAGACTTCAAAAGGGGTCGAAGAGCCGGTCTTCGTTTCCGAAGAAGCAAACGCAGACAAAGTGCTCTCAGCTGTTCTCTCCGCAATCTGATTATAAGGGGAGGTACCTTATAATTCTTTATTAATTTAGAAAATGTTCATAAGTTGACTGACAATATGAAGTCAGCAAATAGGAATACGAAAAAAAAAATTCTCATTGATTTTTTATTGTCTATTAATATGACGATACTTTTTTTTGGTGGGCATCAAATGAAAAGATCCAAAAAAAAAAAAAATCACTATCAATAATAAGCAAGAAATTAAAAAAAAAATCATAAAAACATAATATTTTTTTATTTTTATATGTCGCCTAATTTTCTATTTTGACTCGGTAAATAATAATTAAAAATTATTTTTTAAAAAACAAATATCATCTTGTATGATAAAAAATTTGACTTGAAGGTTAAGAAAATATTGTTTTCTAAACTGAATTGAATTATAAATATCATCGTCTAATTTCATTTATATATATAACACACTTAATTTATTATTTTAGCATTTGTTCTTAAATAAAATATTTTGCCACAAAATATAAGAACAATGCAGTAATTAGAAAATGGCCCATTGGTTATTGCATATAAGTTTCTTTATTTAACACTTAAAATAGATTATATTTTTTTGAATGCTTACCGGCTATAATGAAATTTGAATATATTTTATTTATTCAGGAGAGGAGATGTCCCCTTGCTTTGTAAATAAATAAAAAAAAAGAATAATTTAATTTGATGTCACATTCTGCCGTCTTATATATATTGTCAGCAAATTTATTATGAATTTCCTATGGTGTGATGCTTTATTTGTTTTAAATGGCAGCCCCTACTTATCGAACATATAACATTTTTTTTTTAAAGGAAAGTTGAGGGCTGCAGCCAATCACATCTATCAATGAAAATTGATTACATCGCAAGAGCCATTAGGCTTGGCCAAATTTTTGAAAGGATCTTAATTTAAAAAATATTAGCAAAAGAATCTTAATAATAAATAAATTTTAAAAGGATCATATCAATGAACAGTAATCACATTTTTGAAAAAAAATGTGATTACTGTTTGCATTTTCAAGCACAACATGAACAATGATAGCATTTTCCTTGTAAACACTATATTTTCCTTGAAAATGCTCCATTTTCAATGGAATTCTGCTTGAAAATTCAATTTTTATTGTTAATGGAGAAAACTCAATCTTGATTTGTAAATTCTTTCGCATTGAAATTCATTGGCTTGGTTGAGAAAAAAAATTCTTATATTGAATCATCAAAGAATTTCTCTCTTTTTTTTTAGAATTTTAAAATCTTTAAAGACAGTTTGATTTTTCAAAAATGGTCTTATTTTAATTGTAATTTTTTGTTGATGCTTCTTGTATATGTTGAAGTCCCATAATTGTAATAATAATAATAATAATTATTATTATTATTATTTTATTGTTTATTTTTATTATTATTTTTAATTGCACTTTTCTAAGGATTGACACAAATAATTACTTAAAATGTATTCAATTGAAAATGTAGCATGCGTTGGCATTTTCAAGAAAAATGCTATTACTATTCACGTTTTGATTGAAAATGCAAACAATAATTGCGTTTTTTGAAGAAAGCACGAATAATATTCACTCATATGATCCTTTTAAATTTATTTATTATTAAGATTCTTTTGCTAATATTTTTTTTAAATCATGATCCTTTTAAAAATTTACCCCTCCAAAAATATAAAAGAATGGGAACTTTGAAAAGCTAAACAATTAACACAGTAAGAGTAAAAGTTATCAAATAGAAAATAAAATTTGAAAGCAAGAGGAGATCATAGAGAAATGGTTCGCATATTCATAGCCTCCGACTAAGAAGTGATCATCGTATAGTATTTATAATTATTGATATATCATAAAAAATCAATTTCATTATGCACAAATCTAGATGCTCATTTAAATTAGAAATTTCTAAAAATAAATTCATCATCATCAAACCTCTGATTTCAACTAACATATAATTAGACTGATCGATTTGATGAGGCAAACACGGTGATATAAAAAATGCTCGGATCCAAGTCCAAACAAGTCTAAATCAATAGCTTGAAGCATAGTCGAAAGTTTTAGAGTATTATATGAAGGGCTATATGACCTCCAAATTCGACATGCTTATAGTCACATTGAGTGTCTCGACCAGGCGAATCCTACAAGCCCATATTAACTAAAATCCAATAACATTAAAGTACTTACGGCTAAACAAACGATTTATAATCAAAAGAATTAATAAGAATTGTTCAATGAAGTGTTCCAAATTTTCTCTTGTTGATTTGGATTTTGGAATTATTTCCAAATCTAATTAAAGCTTTATTTGGGAAAATTGTGTGCCCGATGTTGGTAGGTGGCCTCGTTAGGTTCGGTTGATGGATTAGTTATGCTGTCAAGCTCTCCATTTGGAGTGGAAACGGGGCCATCTATTAACATGGGGCATACACTTGCTTTGCCCCACTGAAGAGGCGAGGCCATAATAGAGGGGATTCAAAGCCGGGATAGGGGGTTCCCAACCATGCTCGTCCACCAATCAAATTTATATAATTGATTAGGGAGATGCTTATTTTCCTAATTAGTAGATTTGATTGGAGATTTAATTGATGCATTAGTTAAGAAAGATTTGATTGGCTTTAATTAGGAGATTTAATTAGTGCACTGATTGATAGATCTAATTGGTATGATTAAATCTTTACATTAATTATATTTTCTTTATTAGATCTTGTTTCAAATCTATAAATAGAGTTTATTGATTGCTCTTGTATGTATGAGAGCAAAAGAGAGACCTTGAAAATCTATTGTAATCCATATTTATATCTCCAATATAGTGAAATCATCATCCCCTCCCCGTTGACATAGACATATTTGCCGAATCACGTAAATCACCGTGTTCTTTGTGTAATTTTGTTGTGTGATTTTATTTCCTATGTATTTATTGCACAACATCTTTCTCTCCACACACACACATAATATTACATGGACAAATATCTTCTAAAATATTTATTAGACCAAAATATCTACAATATGGAATAATATATATATTTTATTTGTGATTTTACTCATTACACTGATAAGTCCCGAGAATTGGATTTGAGCCAAGCTTCGTTGATTTCTTCTGTTGCCGCATGGGGGTTGGCTATGTGGGAGGAACCAAGTTGGAGTGTGGGCTGACAATGCGAGATTCATGAAGGGAAACACAATTGAAGGGTTATAGGCTTCATGGCTAAATGGGAGCTTTCATGTTTTGCTTTTAACAATTTAATGACTGCCAAATTTCCAGCAAATGAAATGTATAAGAAAGCTTTTAAATGTTTTTTAAAAAATCTGGAACAATGAAGAATATACTTCACAGGAAAAATTGACTGGCCATAAACTTGCTTTTGGTTTCATGTGTTTGACCTTTTGCTTGGAGGATGGTTGCATCATTGCCCATATGCTCCTCTATGCAAACAAGAGATAAATTAAGCATCATTTTTTAGGCTTTGATTATTTCAGCATTTAAGTACTTCAATGATGTCAGAATTAGAGTAAAAAAATACGAAACAAGCATATTCTTGAAAAGGTTGGAGTAGCTCCAATGACAAATAAGGTTAGAGAGAGTTATCTTAGATGGTTTGGTCATTTAAAACGACTGCCTTAGTTTTGATGACCCTATTAGGAGAGTAGATCTATTAAATTTGGTCTAGGTAAAGAAAGGTAGATGTAGGCCTAAAAAAGCTTGGTTATTAAATATTAAAAATGACATTTTTTTTATTAGATTTAAATAAGAATTTGACTCTTATCAATACAAAATGGAGAAAAAGTATTCATGTAAATGACCTCACGTAGTGGGATAAATGTTTAATGTTGTTGTTATTGTTGTTGTAATGATATGAGAATTAGACAATATAAGTAAATTTCTATAAGAAAATACTTGGCTCAATTCGATTAATTTATACCGTTAGCCATTATCAAATAACATTTAGGTTTTTTCGGGACGGCTTTCTTATTTTTTCTAAAGCAACTTTATGGTACAAAATTTTTAATTTTTATACTATAAAGTTGTTTTAAGAAGCGTTAAAAAAGATGTCCCAAACGAAACCTTAGTCAACAATTATTAGAAAATTCTCTCTTGACGCGATGATTTATGTAGCATCATAGAAATAAAATAATGAATTTTTAAATTTAAAGGAGATTATGACATCCATATACAAGATAATAACGCCAAATGGAGCCCTAAACTTTAGCGTAGTTTAAAATGTAGTTTAAATTAGATAGTACATGCATGTCCATTTCAATCATGATTGGGACAAATCTTATGAAGATGAGATGCATTGTTTATTTATAGTTTGTTTTATATATGCTATCATTCAAAAAAATGACACATGATAATTCTATCCATATATATTTTAATTTAAAATAAAATAATTCCAATGATTCATTGGCTTCCACCAAATTTAAAGAATTATATATCTTTGAATTTTAAAAGCTACATATAATTCTTATTACTAGAAATTAAAGCATAGCATTAATTTTTATGAATTTATCATAAATAGATCATATATGTGTATTCATTGATGTCACACACAGCTCACCATGGCCTATTGGTTGAGAGCTTATGCTTCAACTAAGAGGTCCTGGGTTCGAGTCTTTGTGTATGCGTGGTGTGTGTGAGTTTGCCTTAATTGGCCTAAATGTCCCAAAAAAAAAAAAAAACTCAGCGACTTCCTAATACCTCGATCAATATTGTATAAATAAAAATAAATATTTAGGTGTTAGATATATAAATACATAGTAATTTTATGATATGTATGAAAGTCCTCTTTTTTATATTTTTATTTAACTAAATATCTTCAAAATTGCTTTTTTGACTTAATTACATTTACACCCCATCAAAGATAACTCTATATATTTGTAAATGCTCTTCGAAGTAATAAGTCCTTCAAAACTGATTCAAACTGATATGAATTCAAAATTTAGTTCAAGCCATTGAAACAATGCTTAGGATAGTGGGATGATTTTCTCATAGATGGTGCCAAACTATATTGCAGGCTAAAATATTCATGGCGGTAAGA